AGAAATGGCTGGGGCATGGTCGATGCAAGACAAGCCTGAAACACCTAATTATGTCGGAAAGGAAGCATGTCCTCAGAAAGTATATGGGGCATAAGGACACAGGCTCCAGCTCAGAAGGGTTCCCACTTGTCAAATCAGGGACAATTTGAGCACCAAAATAATGAATTAGGTAGAGTAATGACTATAAGCCATTGAGAAAATGGGAGCCAATGAGTCCATGCCATAAATAAATACGTAAGTTAATGGGGGAGAAATGCTGAGTAACAAGTGATAAATGTGCAAGGAAGAGTGGAGTTGGAATGCCATCTGTTTGCAACCACGACAGTGAAGCTGAAGCCGACGAGAATCTTCGATGGACGCTAAAGCTGAGGGGAAATTTTAATCGGGAGCTGTATATTCACATGGTCTTAAACTGTGTCTTCAGTTGCTTACTAGTTGCAAAGGAAAACACAATACCTTGTCAGGGAGAGATCAGATGACATCTTGACGGAGTGCTCAAAATTAATACCACCAAGGAGAGACAAATAAACAGTGTACACCTCCAGACAGGGTTCCTCTGAGGAGTACACAGCAGCACTGAGGTAGAATTCCGGCCAGAAGGGCAGGTCTTAAATCTAAGTATGAAAAAGCACTAGAAAAAAACAAAACTGAGTGGGGAAAAAGGTGGCAGGGGACTCTGTTCTTCAAAAATGTCAATATAAGAAAGGCTGTGGAAATAGTCCAGATTAAAGGAGACTTAACAGAAGACAATTAAATGTAATACCGCATCCTAAGCGATATGATATATTGGAACAAAACCCAAGCCGAAGTCTATATACAGGACATTATTGGCTCAATTTCTAAAATTAGAATACGGACCATGTCAGTATTAAATTCTCTGCAGTTGGAAACTACTATGGTTATGCAAGAGAATATCCCTGATACTTGGGAATGCTGAAGTACTTGGGAATAGAGGGCCATGGTACACTCAAGTTCCTCTCAAGCGACTCAGAAAAGGAAGCTCTTGTGTGCCCATGTGTGTAAAGAGAGAAGGAGCACACGAAGGCTGGAGCATATGGTGTGAAATGTTGATGATGGGTGTGGGAGGAAGGCATATGATGTTCTTTATTCTCTGCTTATTCTTGCAACCTTGGGATAAGTTTGAAATTAGTTCCAAACGAAAAATCTTAGAAATTAAGAAGAATGAGCTCACTAGTGGTGACCAAATGTTTTGCATCCCTGAGAGAGTCTTCACTGAGCCCCAAGAGGGCCATTGTATGTGGAAGTCCAGGCTCGGAGGGGCGAACTCACCATTGCGAGTTGGTGTGGAATCGGTGCTGTTGATCAGTGCTGGCCTGCGGGTCTCCTGGCCTCCTAACACTGTTCCGTGGAATCCAGCGGAACCATGCCCCATGCCGCTGACTTGGTTGAGTGCTCCCCAGACTCTAGTAGTCTATGTCCATCTCTCTCAAGGGCAGCCAGAAGATCTGGGCACCAGCCTCTGTAGGGACCACGGAAAGCAACACAGATCCAGACTGTGATCAACAGGCTCAGACTTGTTGAGCTTAATAGAGCTGTGTAGTTTTCGTGCCCAGAGTGGGATTAAGTTTTTAAGTTCATCGTCCCAGAGCTTTTAGGCTCGATACTGGCATTGAGAGACTTGGGCAGGAAGAAAAAAAAAGAAAACCAAGGAGCTAAATCATGAACCTCCCTCCACACCCCACTGGTGATTTTCCCAGGTGTCAGCAGCCAGAAGGACATGGCATTCTTTGCGATAAATCAGAAAATACGCATACCACTAATTCCATCACAGAAATTAGGAATTCGTTAATAGAGAAGGTAGTTTCATCAAATGTGCGCGTGCGTGTGCACACCTGAAAATACCTAGAATAACTTTTAGGAAATTGGGTTTTCCGAATCTTCCAATTCAACTTGTTATTCATCTATTTTTTTTGGTATTCACTCCCTGCTGGGGGTACCCCCAGGTTTTTCACCTTTTTCCGAGAAGAAATTTTAATTAAAAGAATGCTATCTTTTTTCATAATTTTCTCCTGGGATTTGAGGGAAAGGCATAATTGTGTTTGTAAAGCACAGTAGTGGGAGGACTGCGCAGAACCAAGGACACCCCGAGTGTCTCTCGCACTCCTAGGAACAGGGAAAGAGAATTGTCTCACGTGGTCTTCGGACACTACAGCACAGAACCACCACAGTGAGAATGGGAAGTCAGGGAAAATTCTCTCCTCAAGCAGAGCTCTGTGAGGCCTTGGGGGCAGTGAAAGGAAGTGGTAGAAGGCCTTTTACTTGCCAACTAAAATAGGCCTGACCTGAAAGAGGCCTGAGACGGCCCTCTGGGGCCAGGCCAGCCTAGACCAACCGACATGTCTGCTCTCTCCCTGTCTCCTCTCATCTGTAACGCCCCTTTCTTGGCTGAGGGGATAGGGGCTTTTCTCAGTTTTAGGCTTAGGATGTCAGCCAATTCCTGTCCTGCCTGAGGAGGTTTATAACAACTATTCTAAAAGAATGGTTGGAAGAGGAGGCTTGGCCAAGCAGGGCAAGGCCCACAGTGCCTGTTTGCCCAGCTGCACAGTGAAGACAGACAGGGGAAGAAGGTGTGCCTGGAGCCCAGGCTCTGGCATTGGATTTGACTCTAGGCCTCTCTGGTCTTTGTTCTGCACAGAGAGATGGCCACCCACTCATCTCTGTCAGCAGTTACTGCTTGGAAAGGGAGAAGCAGGGACATGTCTTGAGTCCCAAAAGCCTTTACATGTATCTCATTACCAAAAAGATTGCTTAGGGGCCCTCTGCCTATGCAGCAATGTGAGAACAGGACTTCACCCCCTCTGGAAGCTTACAGAGGGCAGCCAACAGTTTCCCTTTCGTCACAACTGCCTTTGAAATGCACCGATTTCTTTATTAGTTTTACTCAGGTACAGTTTTCAAGTATTTTGTTAGAGTGATAACCTTAGGCTAAATCCAGCTGGAAACCAAAGCCTTTGACAAAATTCTTTTAAGTTTCTCTAAGTCAGGATCACCCCCAGACTCAGAACTCAGTCTACCCTCAGAGTGCTCTCATTATCTTCTTAGACCCATCTAGTTCTTGGCACTCCTAACTCCGTGGCATTCTTCTCAGACACTCCCGACAGTGCCAGGCTCTGTGCCCTCAAGCATGGACTTAAGCCCATTTTTGAGTCCTGACCTACTGTGGCCCTTGTTTTCATCTACTCAGCCAGTGTTCACACAGATGCAACACAGATGGCCTCATGTAATGCGACGCTATCCGTTCATGCCTTAGTTCCGTGTTTCTGTGTTGTTTCTGTGTCCTGTTTACATACTAGAGGCATGTGTATATGTCGATGTATAAAGGAAAAACTCAGTTCTTCGCTTTCTACGTAGGGAAAAACTCCGTTCTTCCCTACTGTGTTTCTCCCCCAAGTCTCCTTTATTACCCACATGAAACATTTCATTTCTGACACTTCTGGTCACCAAATGCGTGGACATTTTTCCCCACATCAAGCAGTTCCCTGCGACACCAGCTGGATGTCCTACAATTTGACTCAATTCTGACACTGTTTACATGCAGACAGCATCCACTCACACAGGTTAAGGGCTCGGTTCCACAAGACCCTCCCCCCAGTTGAGACACCAGCCACCTGGCTATCCACCTGGGCTTCTGACCACCTGTTGCAGATGGAGGTTCCCTGATCCCCTCCTCAGGTTCGCTGAATTGCTGGAACAGCTCCCAGAAGTCAGAAAACATCTTACTTACTAGATCACAGGTTTATTGGAAAAGGCTATAACTCAGGAACCAGGTGGGAGAGATGCGTGGAGCAAGGTCTGGGGAAAAGGGCGTGAAGGAGCTCCCGTGCTCTCTCTAGGCACACCACTCTCCAAATTTCCACGCGTTCGCCAACCCGGAAGCTCTCCAAACCCTGTACTTCAGGGATTTTATGGAAATGTCACCACATGGGCACGATGAATTGTGAACCCTATTTTCAGCTTTTCTCCCTTCTCAAGAGAATGGGTGGTGGGACCGAAAATTCCAAGCTTCTAATCATGGCTTGATCTTTCCAACCCTTATCCGGGATCCCACCCAGGATCACCTCATTAGAACAAAAGACACTCGTGCCACCCAGGAAATCACATGCTTTTGAAGAGATAGGTATCAAGAACAGGGGTCACAGGCCAATATTAGGACAAGAGATGTTCCTAGTATTCTTATCACTTGGGAAATTACAAGGGTTTGTAATTTTGTTTGTTGGTAATGAGGGCCAGAGACCAAGATATATATTTTCTCAGTGTATCTCAGGGTATCCGTTGAGCAACTTGGGCAAAGTCAATGCAGCAATTCAGGAAACTGGTTCTTTTTTTTTTTTTTCCCAAGATTTTATTTATTTTTATTTGTTTATTTGACAGACAGAGATCACAAGGTGACAGAGAGGCAGGCAAAGAGAAAGGAAGGGAAGCAGGCTCCCTGCCAAGCAGAGAGCCTGATGTGGGGCTCGATCCCAGGACCCTGGGATCATGACCTGAGCCGAAAGCAGAGGCTTTTAACCCACTGAGCCACCCAGGCGTCCCCTGGTTCTTGAACCCACATCTTTTAACCTCAAAGCTTGTACAGTGTGTATGTGCCACGGACTGTATTCCTCCTCATTTGTTCATTATTGAATTCTGAGCTCCTAGAGTGGTGCCTGGCACAGGGGAGGCATTTGACAAGTATTTATTAAATGAATAAGTGACCAGTAATTATGACATTCTCGGGCCCACCCCTGAGAGCTAAATGCTGGGCCCGTAGTCTTAGCAGCATCACAATGCTTATGGCCAAGACGTCTCGGCCTTCTACTGATGACTCACTGATTTCTGTAGTTGCATGAACAATCTTCAGCCATTCTTTCTCTTACTACATTTTTATTTTTGTTTTTCAGATTTACCGTTAGCTGGTAGTGGAGGATGTTAGGGGTTTTCTAAAGTCCTGGTTTGTCTTGCCTGATTAATCCCTGGGGTGGGGTTTCAATATTTTACAGCTTTTGGATCTCTTCATCCAGTGGGACTGGTCGACCTACCTTGCTGACTATGGTCAGCCCAACTGCAAGTACTTGCGCGTGAACCCAGTGACAGCTCTGACCCTGCTTGAAAAGTGAGTACACAGTCCGGTGGTCTCTGTTGGGAGGTGGGGAAAGGGCATGGGGATCAGTGTCAGGGATAATTTTCTCTTGGCCAATACCTTCCAGACACAGCAGAGAGGCCTGTTCTTGGAGTTGCCGTAAGTGCTACCCGTAGTCTCCGCTATTGGATTGGGCAGGCTGGCCTTCCTCTTGTAGCCTCTTAGCTCCTGAGCCCCAAGAAGCTGAGGCCAAGTATGGGTCAGGTGGACTCTGGCAAGCCCTTGGAGCTGAATGGGGCAACATCTCTTTAGCTAAAGATGACAAGAGAAGAAAGGAAGATGCCTTAAGGTTGGGTTCAGGCCACCTGGTGAACAGAGTGAGACTGGCCCCAGTCATCTGGGGACAATGGGCAGAAGAGCCCCATGAAAGATGGCTTCTGTGGTTTCTAGCAGAGAAGCTCCTGGAATGCCTGAAACCTTCAGCAGCGCCATCCCCATTCAGCTCCCCCACCCCCACCCCCAAACTCCCTGCCAGATTGAGCCTTGTTGTGCCGACTGTCCCAAGAAAGCTGTTGGACATGGTATCTCATTCTTGCTCTGGGCAGTCACTGGCCAGCAGAGGTGCTCCTACTGAGATCGGGTTAGACAGCTCCAGAACGTCTCATGGTTAACCAGTACATCACCCAGATGCTGGAATCTGTTATGCAGCCTAGCTCTGGCTTTTCCTAACCTAGTTGAGAGCTGGCAGGCCAGAGACCAGGATCCACGTAAAAGGGAGGGTTTTTACTGTCATCACACTAGTTAAGGGCCAGCTTCTTTGAAGCTTCTTAGAACAGTACCCCGCATCTAAGCAGTACAGCAAGTACATATGTGACCCTGTGTGAGCTTGGGTACATGGACCAGCAGCTAGGAGGTCAGAGTGCAGCCGTAAGCAGAGGAAAGGCTAAGGTACATCCTCCCTACTATGCAGTTAGAAGAGTGGGAAGGGGAGGAGTGGAAAGTAAGCAAGAACGGGACGCAGAGGAAAGTGTTTGGAGCCAAGAAACCAAGAGCCCAGGGTGCAGCTTTCGCCAGACCAAGACAGACTGATGTTTCCATTTTAACTTTGTTTCCCATGATTCTCTCTCCTGATGACCTTCCTCCCTAGGATATCTAGAGAGTAAGTATATTATTCACTTGGGCCTTTTCCATCACTTTGAGGCAAGTCCTTCTCGTTTCCTCACTGACACTAACGACTACACTAAATCCTTACTCTCTGAGTTTTCTCCCCCCTGACGTACTAATCTACTAAACTAGTCTGGTGCCAACTGGCTGGCTGTTTCCTCTGTCCTCGGTCCTTAGAGTGACCCTTGGCATACCAATCCCTATGGGGCTGGAGGTGGTGGCAGGGATTTTCTTTCCCCCATTGGTGCCAGGGAAAAGCTTGTTCCCACTCAGCTTCCTGGCACGCTCCATACTCTTGCTAGTGCAAAGCTTGAAACTCGGCCCTGACAGAAGGGAGCTGCTCAGCAGTCTCCCCTTCTCCGCCACCTCCTGGTGGTGAAGCCCATGGCAATAAGCTCTGGAACCTACGTCTCCCGGAGAAACCTTTTTATTAGAGGCAAGGCCTAATCCCAGCTGAAATGAGGGACATTTGGGCCCTCCAGGTGGTGTTTAATGTTGTATTCACTCTGTGTCCAAATGGGCTGTGGGATTCCCTTCCATTTCCTTCTCTCAACAGTCCTTTGCTTGTCTGTTCCTAAGAATCTCTAGATCTAAGAGGCATTGTCTCTTCCACTTTCTGTGGATCAGCAATGGGCTGAAACAGTCAGCCTCTCCGTGGCATTCTGGAGGCCTGACAGTAACAAAGCCATGTGCTTATCCCCAGCCATCAGCAGGGTTTAAAGGCTTCCTCCCAAACCCAGGAGGGCCAAAGGCCACCCGGATCACCAAAATCCCTACTTCCCAGCCTCATAGGAATCAGCCCCTTTACCTGACCCTTTCCTGCTTTCGCCCCAGCCAGATCTACCACCAGAGCTTGACTATCTCTCCTTTTCAACATGCCAAGGACATTCAGGAAACAGAAGAGGCGCCTGTGTCACTGAGATGTGGCCCTAGCCAAAGTAGATCAGGATCCCAGGCTTACAGAATGGGAGGGGAGGGGAGGAGGACCCCCTGCTTTGGTTTGGGTGCTTCCCAGGGCACAAACCGGCATGCTGTCATCAGCCGTCAAGGCACTTGAGTTTATCTTTGGAGTAATCCCAACTCTGGGCCTTAATTGCCAAGAACTCCTAGCCTCTGAGGCTCAGGGACTACCTTCTTCTTCCCTTTCTCCTACCTTATTGGAGAGTTTCTTTTATGAGAGCTGAAAGCCAACTCTGGCTCCCCATCTCTGGGCAGCTTCAAGGAGTCATGAAATTCATGATCACAAAGGACATTAAAATGAATGCCCCATACATGTAGGGAGTGTGTTTCTGCTTCCTTCCTTCCTTTCTTCCTTTCTTCCTTCCTTGTTTTGCATTGTTTTTCTTTAGATTCATAGTATATTCAGCAAAGGAAAAGGAATCCTTCTCTGGGATAAATAATCTAAAGCCAGGCCAGTTCCACAGACATAATTGTCCAGTCCATGCATAAGGGACCAAATACAGTAATCATCAGAGCCTGAGGACCATGTGCTTTCTTTTCAACAGCCTCTGTCACCTCTTCTTCCTCCCCTCCAAGCTCAGTCCTATACAGGTGGGTGGTTGTACCTTATACTCAGTGTTCTGAGTTTACTTGAGTAATTCCAGTCTGAAGACCCTTAAACTTAGATCTGTGAAAGAAGTCACAACTCATCTGTGGCTGTCAGTGTCGGCCTCAACCACACAGCTTTGGTGCTCATCAGAATCTCCCAGCCTCATGAATATAACTGCCCTTGTGGCATCTCTAGCTTTAACCCATTGGCCTCACATCTGCCCCTCTGAACAAAGACCACCACACAGGGGGGAAAAAAAAAAAAAAGGCTAGGATTGTCCAAAGGCCCCTGGGAAGTATGCCTGGCCATAGATTACCAGGCTTATCAGGTTCCATCCCCTCCTTCAGATCTGTCTACGTACAGCCCAGGGAGCTGTGAAGCCAGAAAGCCAGCCCAGATCCTGGGGGATGGTGGTGAAGACTGCCTATGCCTACACCAGGGTGAAATTGGTCTGGGCAGTGTTCTTAATTCTCTGACACCGGAACTAGCAGTGGGCTGGAGGTCTAGTGCACAGAGACTGAGGCCAGAGGTCACAGTCAGATGTCAGAGGTGTGGACTCTGCGGGGATTAGCACATTCCCACGTTCTATCACAATGGCTTACCCAGACTTGGGCCTTTCTGTGACACCATAGCCTGGTCAGGACTTTACCTATGCTTCCTGGTTAGGTCTTTCCATCTGGCCACAACCATTGGCCAGAACTGCCCATGGTTTGCCCTCTAGGAATATGCCATCTCTGGAGCTTTGGAGGAACCCGGTAATAGAAAGCTCTGTGAAGGTCAAAGGTGTGAGGGTATGGACAACCCTCGGGTTCTCAGGGGCTTCTCCTGGCTGAAGTTCTGGCTCCACAAGCGAAAGGATGGTCTGTCTGCTCTCCTTCTCACGGTGCACTCAACTGCCTCACCGTCTCTTGGTCCTTACTCTGAGACAAAAGAGATCGGTCAGGCCCTTAGTTTTGTTAGGGATGGGACAGAGCAACTGGCCGGTGAAGTTTAGAAATACACAGTGGCTTTCAGTTACTCATCTCCTCTTGGAATTACTAGCTGAGAGTTTGTTCCTGCTTTCTCTTTCAAGTACCAGCTCTGAGGTCGCAGCAGGATTTCACGATCTCAGGAGATGATAAGTGGATCCTAGATCTAGATAATCTGTAAGAGCCTGTTGACCCTCAGGGCTTCAGCACGCCCAAGATTCCTATGGGAGCTGCACACCTGGAGCTAGAAGGGAAGGAAAGAGGTGCAGTGGGGGGAGGGGGGTGTGGGTGATCAGGAGGTTGGCCCCTCCATCACTGGCTTTGGACTCTCTTCCAGAGGTGACGGAGGTTGGGAGGGCAGTGGGTGCCACAAGACAGCTTCCTGAACAGTAGGTAAGTAGGGGCTTGACATATTGACATATTGAAATATTCTGGACTCTCAGGTCTGGGAGGAGGTGGAGATGGTGCGGAGCCATCCCACCTCCCGCCCGGTCTCCTTCCACCATTGTCTCCTCAAACACTTTGCTCTCCTTCTTTCTTCCTCTGTTTAGGATGAGGGACACCAGCCGCAAGAACAACATGTTTGCACAGTTCCGGAAAAATGAGCGAGACAAGCAGAAATTGATTGATACTGTGGCCAAGCAGCTCCGGGGACTCATCAGCAGCCACCACTCATGAAAGCTAGCCTCAGGCCTGCAGAGGCTGCTCACGCCAGCCCCGGAGGCCGGGACCCAGGCCCGGCTGGCCCTGCCTTTGTGCATTCTTCTTCAAAGAGAGCAAATGTATTTTTCTAATAACCTGTGTACAGTATTCACGTAACCTTTCCCTATAGTAAAAGAGGCACAAGAAAAAGCAAGTACATGAGGTGTTGCTAGGCTGGGATTCCGGGGAATTCATACTGTATTCTGTAGTGGCCTAGAGATGGTGGTGTCACTAGTCCCGGGACGATGAACCACCTTTCATTGCTGCCCTAGAACCTCGGTCTGGGGCTCAGGAATGACACAGACGTAATGGGTCCTTGGTGCTGGGAGGTAAGGTGAGTAGGCGAAAAGATAACAAAGTATATCCTGTTCGTTCCCAGCGCCCCATTCACCACACAGGGGAGGTTGGTCCTTCCTGATGCAAGAAGAGGACCTGGAAAACGTTACTGTTTAGTGTATGAAAGACCAGCACACACGGTTCTGGAAGTTCGTATCTCCCCAGTCCACCAATGTTCATCAGCAGGGGGACAAGCATGGCGTGTGGCCAGAGGACAGCTTCACTCCAGTCCCCTGAGGGTGGCCGTTTCTTCAGCCCAGATCTGACCCAGTGCTTTTATTGCTGACTTTTCTGGGGCAAGATAGAGCTGAGTATACAGTGGTGATAATTGGACCCCATGACTAACCGCAGGTTGCTCCACACCAGGAAGAGTTTTATTAGCTCTTGAAAGCCAGTGTGAATGGAATCAGAGCCTTGGTCCCTTCCCTGTTCATCTCATCATCTTCTTTCAGGGTCAAGGCACTGGATTCAGAGCAGAGATCAACAGTTATTTCCATAGATCTTCACAGAGAGTCTCAGACTTGATCTTCTTCAGTAGTGTCATTGGGTTCAGTCAGATTCTAGAAGCCTGAAAATGGCCCTTCCTTAACCCTTCAGTAAAACCTGAAGGTTACTGGGGACTGCCCCTTGTGATTGAAAACCAGCTCTCTGGCCACCATCTTTACAAGAAACATTATCAGCTCTGTACTGTGGCAACAGCCGCAGCTGGACAACATGCCTGTTGGGATGGAACCATTGTCCCCACGAAGCAGACAGGGCCAGTCGTGGCTAGTAGTTTGTCGCCTTTGGCCAGCAGTCCGTTACTAAGTTATATCCTTGATGTGAAGCTCTTCTTACTCAAGCCCAAGCCTTTTGTCCTCTCCTGAGACCCCCATAGCCATCTTTTGGCCTCATCTGAGAAAGGTTGTCTATAATCTCATCCTGCACATTCTGGAACGTGCCAAGGAAGCCTGGACTAGCTAGCTGGGAGGCTGTATCCGCTGTCGCAGATGGGCTCCTGACACCTGGCGCAAGGGCTTTGCTGTGAGGTCAGCCAGAGGAACCTGCACTCTTAAGACTCTTTGGGAAGGTGCTCCTGTGGCTACCGGCAAACGTGTAATTGTGCATCACCAAACAATGACAAATAAGCCACACAGGCATTTCCAGCTTGGATTAGTGGGAGGAGAGACTCATCAAACAGAATTCTTCACTACCTTTGTCAGCTACTTAGCTGCTTCTGGGGAGATCAATGCTTCCTTTTTCATTCCCCACCCCAATCCCCCCAGAATCCCATCCCAACTTGCAAACCAAGGGGAAGAGATTACACACAACAGACGTGAGCCTTCCTCAAAGCTGGAGAGGCCAGGCTGTGTGGACGCTCTAGAGAAGCTTTCTAAGGCTTACCTTGAGGCCTCAGTGCTTGGCCCAGGGTCTCAGGAGGAGGGTCAGGGATGAATCCTGCCACCCAGAATTGCAAAAGGCAAGGGAAAGTGGGGGGCCATGGGAATGAGATCCCGGATGCCATCACCCAAGTCCTGGGTTTGATTGAAAGAGAGCAAGAAATGATTACACTAATCTAAAGTCCTGTTGCTTAAGAAGGGCCCAGCACACTCCTTCACTAGTCTCCCATTTGCAGCAAGATCCTTTCAGATGGATCTTGGGACATGGGACATGGGACAGAGAGAACCTTAAGCATGTCACAGTTTTTGTCTTCTCCGAGTCATCATTGCTGGGCTGGTCTCAAGCCTGTACCCTGGAAAGACTACTGTAGAGGAAAAGCAGACAGAGTGGCAGAATGGGGCTTCCTCTGCACCTCATTCACGACCTCCCTCTAAAGAAAACACTTACCCAGCTCAAGACTCTTAGGGGAGGACCCTTCGGTGGCTCTCTTCCCTCTCAGTCTGTCTTCAGTCTTCTCTGACGAAATCAACATGCTGCTACTGAGTTGTGTCTAGAGACACACTCTCGTTGGGCAAGGGAAGGTCAAAAAACAGGGACCGGCAATGTCCAAGTTGTTTGAATTGGCGAAGTCGGATTTTTGAGTCTTCTCTCCAGGCCTCTAGCTGGGCCAGGCCTTGAGAGGACTTGTGCACATGGGGCCATGCCCCTTAGACTCCTAAGACCCGGCCTCAGGCGCCCAGAGATACGGAAGTGCCCCAGCAGGCCCCAGTAGCAGAGCAAGAGCAGCGGTGGCTAGAAGCCTACGGCCTGGGGTTAGTGTGACTCTTAGCCAAGTTCTGGGGGAAACCAGGTCCATGTTTCTAAAGGGACCTTCTGGGTTGGGACCCTCATAGGTTTCAGTAGTAGTGTAGACAGCTCCTATAGTTCGGACGTTCATAGGAAATCTCTTGGGACTGTGATTGAAGCTGTTGGGGGTAGAGATTGGAACCAGTGGAGTCCCTGTTGACAAAAGGAGTGTCCAGCTTCCAAGGAGTGCTGCCAGTGTTTTCATCGCATACCAGGCCTAGTGGTCTCTTGGCCTCAAAGCCAGCCTAGCTCCATCGCATACCTGACAAGGGTCTGCTCAGCAAGCCCCAGACCCAGGGCTCTCCTATCCCCAAAATCGGCAATGGCCATGACCTCCCTCATAAAGCCTCTCCACACTCCCTGGGACCTGCTACGGAGCTCCCCTCCCGTCGCCTCCCTTCTCCCAGGACTCTGCTCCTGGCTGCTTCAACTGCCTCTTTTTTTTTTTTCCTTTTTCTTTTCCTTTGCCTGCGTTCATAATTACTTTTCACTAATGTGTTGGAAATAGCGTTTTTATTTTGCACAAATAGTTGCACATTTACGGAGGAAATTTAGGAGAGTCCATTTTTAACTCTAAAGGAAACTTTTTTTTTCTTGAAGACTCACTCCTAAAGCTACCAGTTCAGATGGGCCTCGCGGTTCTTGGGAGCCTCCCCTGTGGAAAGAGCATGTTGATCCCTCCTGTACATTTTCCTGTCTTAACTGCTATTAAACAAGGGAGCCTATGTACCTGTTTCAAAAGCCACGGTGTTGTCTCATGGTTTTTTGGTTCTTCCGCCCCTCTCGCACATTGCAGCTGCTGTGGGCAAGCCGGACAGCAGCCATAGCACCCCCCGGAGCGGACTGAGGACTAGAGCAGGCAAAGACCCACTGGGGGGAGGAAGCCTACCTGCTGCGCAAGGCAAGGAGCCCTTGGAAACGTCCTGAACCGCCGGGTTGGGTTTCCCGCTGATCCAGTTAACACGGGTATCTTCGCTGTCGAGGGGAGCGCTGGTCTGGGCAGCCTGAGCCCTCCTGTGGCTTGAAGAGCAGCCCTTGCTGCGAAAGGGCTCCTAGTCCAAACAGAAGGAGGATGTAGCATTCTCCAGAATAAAGCTGAGTGGGGGAAGGGGAGGAACAAGCCTGTTTTAGAGCCCCTTGCAGGAAGGGGACGGGCCTCAGGGCCTAATGCTGGAGGGGGTCTGGTTAGGCAAGAAGGTGTGGAGGCAACTGGGTGTTCACTACCTGGGCCTTGGAGTTCAGTTCAGATTGTGTTAAGCTGTGGGAGGGTCGCAGGGGCAGACCACGCTAGAGTGAAAAGTTGGCCGGGGTCTGGAGGATGAGTACAGAGCCCGGGGGTCGGGGGGTGGGGGGCACACACAGAACCATGGGGCATAAGGCCAGAAATGGGGTAACAGCACCCGCTGCGCTTGCCCCCTTGGGACAAGCACATGTTCATGAACCAGGTACAAGCCCTTCAAATCAACCAACTGCCTGGCTCAGAGTAGAGCCAGTCCTCCAGAGGGCATCTCCTCGTCACCACCACCTAGAACATTCTCTGCCGTCTCTTTGGTGCCAAAACTTCTACTAGCATTCAGGAGTTCTTAACCCGGGGTTGGTGACCCCTTGGACCGTGTGTGTGGGAGTGTCCATGGTCACGTGGATGCCCCAGCACGCATTCACCCAGTGAATCTTTCCTAGACACTGATGAAAGCCATGAAAGTCCATGGCTTTCATCAGTGTCTAGGAAAGATTCAGGACTAAAACACTGAATGGTAACCAAACCTCTTTGGAAATACAGCTCTCCTGAGGGAAAGCCAGAAGCTCTGAGCCGTTACCTCCCCTCTCTGCCTCCTACGACTCTGGCAGACTTTTCAACACCTATGGCTCTGCCACCAGCCTTTTCCCGGAGCTCCCCACATGATCCCCAGGTCACACTTAAAAACCAGTACAGCCACCATTCCTAGCTTTCTCTACCCAGCCAGGTCAGCGTGCTGAGGTGGGCATGAGGACCTTGCATCTCTGAGATCGCAGAGACTTACGGCCGGTTGGGGAGATTGCAAACCAGAGGGCTTTGCGGACATGGGAGCCTGCAAAGCCAAACTGAACCTGACTCACCCCAGAACATTCTCTGTAGCTTCTGAGCACTGACCGGCGAAGGGGCTAACCCAAGGCCTTATCCAGAGAGGGAATAGCAGCCCTGGTGGGGTTGAGGTGGCAGAGAGGGAGGGGGGGACCTGGGACGGATGTGAGGCCATCACCAGCTTGCCCTTTTGCTCATGGGCGAGGCGTATCTGCTCACCAGGTAGATGAAGACCGGGACTAGCAGGCGGGAGATAAGGGGAGGGAGAGAAAGTGCCAGACCCTTTCCTTTCCCCCAGAGGCCTCAGCGTTGAATTTAATGGGCAGTGGTTGCCGGGGAATGAGAGAGCCTCAGGGCCCAAGGGACCAGAAGACAAAAGCTCTTGAGGAAGTGCAAGGAGGAGGAGGAGAGAAGTGGGGGCCTGGGCTTTGTGTGGGAGAGCCACCCCTCTATCTGTTTCAGTCACTGCTGGGGTTAGGGTTACCATGCACTTGGGGCCTCAGCTGCTTTGTGGGGTCTGTGATATCAGCCGTTGTGATGGTAATGGAGGGGCCTCTCTCACAGGGAGGGAGGGGTGTGCTGGCTCCCCTTTGCCAGCCAGCCCACATCAACTCCCAGAGAAGATTGAAGCTCCTGTTCCCTCCGGGTGGGGGCAGGATGTGGGCCCAGGACCGGCCCAAGACAACAGGCCCAAGCCATGACCTTCCTCTCTCCAAAGCTCCAGAAAAGGAATGGAATCTGAACATTGAGACGCTTTTCTGGCCCGAAACAATCCTCCCATTCTCTAGGCTCAATGATGGGTCTATTTCCTCCTGTAAATGGGTCTCGTAATCTTCAACTTTTACC